AAAGTGTCTGTCTCTAATTTCCACACACTGTTTAGTAAATATTTCATATGGTTTTTTTGAATTTCGTGGAGCCGTTCGGCTCGGTGTGGGCACTAAATTATTGCCTTGTGATCTAGTAGTGGACCAGTCGTACCATTTCGCAACTCCACGGGATTTACAGGTCTCTTTTTGGCGACCTATTATCCAACGAACTAGAAAAAAGGAATTAGCAGAATGTGCAATGTGCCCCCACCGAGTCGAACATAGCCAATTTTTTGTGCGTAAGCAGTTGAAAATTCCCAAATTGAAGAATAAGGGTTAGTTATTGACTCTGGGAATTAATGTCTTCGAGAAGATCCACTTGCTCGTATGGGCCATATTCTCGAACTCGGAAGGAAATCGCGTTCGGGCAACAAGGGAGAGGATCCGTAGAATGGGACATCGCCACACACCCGTAGGATCGTCTCACTTTGGAAACCCTCGTGTGGAACTGTGTGGGTCTCGGTTTTCGTGAGGTACAAGTAACGGCAACCTGTAAGTGAGGTTGATATGGGCCTTCAGTGCCATCTGGGAAAGAGTCTCGAACATAGGAAGGAAATGAGTCAACACAGACTGCTCCCACACAGCAGACAGCTGTGTTCCTGCTGCGCTAGCCGGGCTCTGTTGAGGGGCGAAACAAGGGTACCTGTGCTGAAGATAATCATCGCTGAATTTCGGGCTACTTTTGCGCTCTTTTGATTCTAGGTTTATTTTGGTTCCGAAGAAGCTTCCGGGGATTTTTTGCCATCGGCAGGTGACTAATGTTCTACAGAGAGAACGCAGTCCTGTTTCATTTTCGCTGTTCTTGAAACCGACTGGATATAGTGCATCAGGCGCTGTTCGCCTTTAAAGGGGCATTTTGCACTTTTGCTTGTTTTTAGCTGCTTCATGTTAACTACCAGGTGTCAGCACGGTGAAACCTATAAGCTCTTGTCAAGCTGCGGAATGGTACTAGTAAACCTCTCTGGTTCAAGAATTCACAGCTTTTGCGCAGCCATCACCTGAGTCTCTCGCAAAGCAAAGATTTCTCTCATTTCTCTGTGATCCGGAAGGTTTGGGGCAAATCTCAGATGAAATCCTGAATGTAAATCTCGTTCCGAGCCTGGATAATCGGTATCAGACCTACACGAGACGAAAAAAATTGGTTGTACCTGGGGCGGCCCTTCAGAATGATGGCACAGTTCGGCTCGCTGGGACACAAAGGGGCACAAGGAAG